AGCTGGGAAGGGAAAGTTATCCTGGGTGTTGGAAGCCATATCTATATATCTATAGCTGTGTTCCAGTGGGGGATGGTTTCCCCAAAGGAATCTAGCAATCCTGCTCTTCTCCGAGAGGGCCATTACATATCAGCTCTGCCCCACTCTGCTGAGAGTTTCCTTCCCCACAGAGATGTCCATTGCCTCTCTGCTCTGGTGAAAATTGTTACTTCTCTGCTCCACTCAACTAAGCCGAAACACCCCTTCAGAAATGTAGCAGTTTGCTCTAGCTTTGGAGAAAGTTGTTACTTCCCTGCTGCTCCACTCGAGTGAAAGAAGGTCTTCATTCAAAACTCATTCAAGAGATTCATTGGAGGGGGGGGCGGTGGTAGCACAAACCTTTAATCCCAGCACTCGGGAGGCAGAGGCAGGCGGATCTCTGTGAGTTCGAGGCCAGCCTGGGCCACAGAGTGAATTCCAGGAAAGGTGCAAAGCTACACAGTGAAACCTTGTCTCAAACAAACAAAAAAGATCACATTGATTTGGGCTGGAGAGATGGCTCAGAGGTTCAGAGCACTGGCTGTTCTTCCAGAGGTCCTGAGTTCAATTCCCAGCAACCACATGGTGGCTCACAACCATCCATAATGAGAGAGAGAGAGAGAGAGAGAGAGAGTTGTCCCCCCTATACCACAGTAGATTATTGCTTAAAACACTTCTCCTTTTGGCAGTCCGTTTGCATGTGTAGTATCTATGTATCATGTGCTTTAATATTGTCTCATTGTTCTCCATTGTTTTGCATTTATGCTTAGAAAATGTCTATTGGCATATCTTTAAACTCACTAATGTTTTCCCTTGATTTATTAATTCTGCTGGTCAGCACAAAGACATTATTTGTTTCTGTTCAAATGTTGTTGTTGTTTTTTTTATCTATAACATCCCTTTTCTTTCCTAGTTTCCATTTCTTTGCTGATTTCCCCAAGTTTCCATTAGAGTCCTCATCATACTAATCATGGTGTTTTAAAACTCATTTCACAAACTTTACTGCATCTTTTCATGTGAGTTATTGTGCTTTGTCATGAAACATCAAGTCTTATAGCAGTCCATACCCTAAATACTTCATAGTATTAGAGACCCTGACAGGTCAACAGATAATACTATTGCAGGGTGATACAGCCACAGTTGGGAGCTTAGGGAATCAGGACTCTAAGTAAGCCAAAAAGCGAGGTCGTTTTGACACTCACTTTTGAACTTTTGACACTCGTTTTGCACAGGGTTTGGTAAAGGAGCAGCTGACTGGTCAGCAATCGGGGTGGTTTCTGGGCATGGGAACAGGATGTGCAGTGTGGATTTTAAGAAAGACATATCATTATATATAGCTGGAGTTTAACTTCAGGAGTGAAAGAGAGGCCAGCAAGGCATTTAGGAATAAATCTGTAAAAGGAGCCATTGATTGAATTTAAGCAGGAGAACATTTTATAAGTAAAAAATGTAAAAGATTTGTATTATTTCATATGTATATGTGAGGTCTTGCATGTATGTACATGTACCATGTATGTGGTTGGTGGCCTTGGAGGGTGTTGGAGCCTCTGGAGCTGGAGTTGCAGGCAATTATGAGTGCCCAGTGTGGGTGCTGGGAACTGCACCTGGGTCTTCTGCAAGAGTAGCAAGTGCTTTTAACCACTGAGCTACCTCTGCAGCCTCAGTATAAAATTTCTGATTAAATCGTGGGGTTTAAAAATTAATTTTGAGGGCTGGAGAGATGGCTCAGAGGTTAAGAGCACTGACTGCTCTTCCAGGGGTCCTGAGTTCAATTCCCAGCACCCACATGGTGCCTCACAACCATATGTAATGAGCTCTGGTGTCCTCTTCTGGCCTGCAGGTGTATATGCAGACAGAATGCTGTATACATAATAAATAAATCTTTAAAAAAAGTAATTTTGAAAAGGGTATCATTACAATTATTGGGGATATTTGAATATGTAGATTTAAAAAGTATGTGTGTGGGTATGTGCATGTTGGGGGGCTGCTCACAGAGGCCAGAAGAGGGCATCGGATTCCCTTGAGCTAGAGTTCCAGGCAATTGTGAGACACCTGATATGGGTTCTGGGAACCAAACCTAGGTCCTCTGGAAGAGCAGCAAGTGCTCTTAACCACTGAGCCATCTCTCCAGCCCCATGACTATATAGATTTTATTATTTTACCAACGTTTAATGTTTTTAGTGTAATAGTGGCATTGTGTTTATGTGGGAGAATTTCTTTAGCTTTTAACAGGTACAAGCTAGAGATAAGAGTGAAGGTCGCCGGGCGGTGGTGGCGCACGCCTTTAATCCCAGCACTCGGGAGGCAGAGCCAGGCGGATCTCTGTGAGTTCGAGGCCAGCCTGGTCTCCAAAGCGAGTTCCAGGAAAGGCGCAAAGCTCCGCAGAGAAACCCTGTCTCGAAAAACCAAAAAAAAAAAAAAAAAAAAAAAAAAAAAAAGAGTGAAGGTCAAGTATTTAGAGAAGGAATGAGACCAAATGTAGCAGATGAAAGCAAGCTCTAAGTGAATGTTGCCACAAGCCTTTGTATAGAGCTTTTAAAAGTGGAAATGAGCCGGGCAGTGGTGGTGGTGCATGCCTCCAGCTCTTGGGAGCCAGAGGCAGGTAGATCTCTGAGTTCGAGGACAGCCTGGTCTACAGAGTGAGTTCCAGGACAGCCAGGACTACACAGAGAAACCCTGTCGGGGTGGGAGGTAGTGAAAATGAATACAAATTGAGGGGAATTTGAGTAGAATGCATATGTAAGTTCACAACGTAAACTAGAGGAAAGGAAGGAAATAGGTTAGCTATCTTAGGAAGCACATCCCTCACTTTTGTTTTTTTCTTTTTTTCGAGACAGGGTTTCTCTGTGTAGCTTTGCGCCTTTCCTGGATCTCACTCTGTAGACCAGGCTCGCCTCGAACTCACAAAGATCCGCCTGCCTCTGCCTCCCGAGTGCTGGGATTAAAGGCGTGTGCCACCACCACCGCCTGGCACATCCCTCACTTTTAACCTATCTAGAGGGATACTTTGCACTTTGGCTGCTGTGGAGTTCTGTTACCTTATGTTTAACAAATGTCAGTGGGGAGCTTCTTTCTCAAATGCAAAGGCTCTAGGTGTCCCCTAGAGCAAGAGAAAGCTTATAAACAAACTCTAGTTCTTTTCTTGTAGGCTTTATTTTGAAAAAGTTTATCTTGTTTATTGTAAAGTAGAGCTTTTCTTTTGTTGGTGCGGATTGATTGAGTGAATGATTGAGACAGGCCTCATCCGTAGCCAGGGTGGCCTTGACCTAATGGAGACCTTCCTGCCTCAACCTCTCAAGTGCTGGGAGTACAGGCATATGCCACCACCCTCACTTAAAATTAAAAATGCAAGAATATACCTATGCATGCGCATTACATATAAACACATGTATGTATTCAAAAATAGACAGGTGACATCAAGTGAGAAGTAAGCCTGTTTTAGCCTGTTTTCTGCCCCACATCTGTCCCTCCTCTGCCGAGGCCAGGGCTGTTTTCCTGTCTCTTGTTGACATGGGCTGTTTAGTGCTTGGATGGGGGACAAGAGGACTAGATTGTTCGTCTTCCCAGAGGAGCTTTGCTGCCGTCCCTGGCTTTTCCTCCGAGCTGTGGGTGACCTCTCTCTGCATGCCCACCTTAAGGTTTCGGCCTCGTGTCCCTTGCCCTCTCTCTGCATGCCCACCTTAAGGTCTCGGCCTCGTGTCCCTTGCCCTCTCTCTGCGTGCCCACCCTAAGGTCCCGGCCTCGTGCCCCTTGACCTCTCTCTGCGTGCCCACCCTAAGGTCCCGGCCTCGTGCCCCTGGCCGCCTTAGTCTTTCTGCCGGCTTGGTACTTTATGTAATTGTGCCCCTCTTTCCAATGCTTTCATCCAGAAATGTTGTTTTCAGTGAGAGGTTTCGAGGTGCATTTCCCTGAGTCTCTAGGCTTCCTTTCTTCCCATCATAGTAATCTAGCATCAGAAATAGCCGAGTACTTTGCATCCTGATATCTTTATTAAATGAAACTTTGCTTTGTATAGCCTTTCATTTCCTTCTGTAGTAATGAGAATTGAACCTAGGATCTTGAACGTGCTAGGTAGGTGATAGACCACTGGACTGTTCTCTAGCCCTTTAAAACATTATTTACTTATTTTATTATTTATTTATTTATTTGTCTGTCTGTCTGTCTATCTATCTATCTATCTATCTATCTGTCTGTCTGTCTGTCTATCTATCTATCTATCGAGGCAAGCTTAAGTTGCCCAGGCAAGCCCTGGGCTTGGAATCCTCCTGCCTCTGCTGATTTGTATATTCTTAGATGTGTGTGTGTGTGTGTGTGTGTGTGTGTGTGTGTGTGTGTTGAATCTTCATCTAAGTATGAAAAAGAAAGTCTGCTTCGTAGAGCGGCTGATGATAAAGTTTTATAGTCACAACTTGAGAAAAGTTTTCAAAACTATAAGCATAGATAGGACAGGAAACTGCCGTGTTTTGTCTTGTTAAAACACCAGTAAGAGAATTTAAAGAGCTTAGACTAGAGACAGAAAAAGTAAGAGCAAGTCCATTCTCTGTGGCTGAGAGTTTGCGGCACATTTTTGAAGATAAGCAAACAGCGCTCTTAACCACCAGTACTTCTGATACACCTTGCAAACACAACCCTCCCAGTCCTGAAATACGCTACCTTTCTTGTTACCTTCCCATTTAATTTTTTCCTCTGTAAATGTCTCAGCACTCTAAGAGAGCCGGCATGGCTTAGCGGTTTCCTGATTGTCCCGGGCCTATGCTCCCAGAGGCGCGGCTAAAGTCCTGGGCATCCCCACAGTGTACCCCTGCTCTCTCACCCTACCTCAGCCCCGGACCATCTTTCTAGTGACCCTTGTGGTTAGCCCCTCAGTAGTATGAATATTTTCCCACTTTCTGTTGGATCCAAGAATGATTGTCAGTTGTAAATACATATTCCTGAAACCACAAAGGCAGCTGTGTGCTAATGACTTCCATTCTTTTTGCCAGCTCAGCCTGCTCCTGCCGCCCCTCCCCAAACAGAAGAGGAAATGACTGAGTCTGAGGTAAATATTAAATAGTGTCTTGTCCTGTGCTTGTACATGCAGTTTAAGGGCACTGCACTAAAAAGTCTGTATACATAAGACATTTTTTTTTCTTCAAAGGAAGTAGTGTTAGAAGTTTAAAACTAAGGGAGAGTTCAGATGTGGTTGTTTTATGAAGTCCATTCAGAGAGATTAAAGCTGAGCCTCAAGTTTTGGTTTCATTATTTATTTATTTATTTTAAAATTCTTTTTGGTTTTTCAAGACAGGGTTTCTCTGTGTAGCCCTGGCTGTCTTGGAACTCTCTTGGTAGACTCAGGCTGGCCTTGAACTCATAGAGATCCTCCTGCTTCTGCCTCTTGAGTGCTGGGATTAAAGGCGGCGCCACCCCCGCCTAGCTAGTTTCATTCTTTTAGGTAAAGAAAACCATGGCACAAGCTGATTACATCACTTTCATTATATATGAGGCTAAAACCAATAATTTCCTCACAGAAATAAGCCTTTCATTGGCACATGGGTCATGAGAACAATACTGTGTGGCTCCTTACAGTTGATAAACCTACAGTTTTGTTTGTTTTGACTAAAGATGGAGCAATATTGTCAAAGTTGTCCAGAATTGGAAGGATCACAAATAAACATCAACAGCAAAATAAACACAGCCTAGTGCTATGTACAGTGTGCAGGGCTGTGCAGCAGTGAGGGGGTGTGTGTAAACACAGTGTGCAGGGCTGTGCAGCAGTGAGGGGGTGTCTGTAAACACAGTGTGCAGGGCTGTGCAGCAGTGAGGGTGTGTGTGTAAACACAGTGCAGGGCTGTGCAGCAGTGAGGGAGTGTCTGTAAACACAGTGTGCAGGGCTGTGCAGCAGTGAGGGGGTGTCTGTAAACACAGTGTGCAGGGCTGTGCAGCAGGGAGGGAGTGTCTGTAAACACAGTGTGCAGGGCTGTGCAGCAGGGAGGGAGTGTCTGTAAACACAGTGTGCAGGGCTGTGCAGCAGTGAGGGGGTGTATGTAAACACAGTGTGCAGGGCTGTGCAGCAGTGAGGGGGTGTCTGTAAACACAGTGTGCAGGGCTGTGCAGCAGTGAGGCAGTGTGTCTAAAGTCAGAATAGTGTCCTGGGTGTGGCAGTATATGTTTATAATCCAGACACTTGGGAGGTGAAAAAGTAGAAGCTCAATGTCAACTTTGTCTACTTAGCAAGTTCAAGCCAGCCTGGGTAATGAGATCATTACCTACTCCACATCAACAAAGCCAGAATAGGCTACCTCTGAGAGAGTAGAAGGTTGCACTGGTCACTTATTGAAGACAGCTTATTTGACTTTATTCGGTGGGTGGACGTGTCGTAAGTTATAAAAATGTCAGGCTGTGCATGTAAGACTTTCAGGTATTGAATTATTGACTATGACCCTCACTTCATGGCATCTTTATCTCAGTTGAGGTAAATACTGAAGGATTCTTTTCCTCAACTGTGTTTCCATATCTGCCAGCTTCTTATACCTCTAATTTTTGCTCAGGCACACTGAGATAATTTTCAAAGTGAACACACTGTATATGCAGCGCTGGGTCAAGAAATAGGATTGTTGCCAGCAAGATGGCTCAGAAGGGATAGGCACTTGTCACCAGGCTTGAAGGCTTGAGTTCAGTCTGGGCCCCGTGTGCTGAATGGAAAGGACTGTCATATAATCCATGGGATCTGTCTGTCTCTGGCTTTATTTACTTAATATTACGTTTGTCAGATTCATCCGTGTTCAATTGTTACATCTAGTTGTAGCTCAGTTTCTTTCATTCAGCTAACAAATTTGCTTTTATTTATACATATTGCTGACAGGTATTTCATTGATTTTATTTTTAGGAATTATAAATGTGAAAAATGTGAAATTTCTTATAAATGCCAGGTTGTGCATAGAGTCCATTGCTATGGAAAAGTTTTCTAAAGTGATTGTTCAAAATGACACTGTGTTGGAGAGCACTCAGTCACCCCAAGGAACCTTCTTGAGTGTTGTTATTGGCTTGGCTATGGTACTGGGGGTTGAACTCAGGGCACCACGCTTGAGTACTCTACAACTGAGCTAGGAGCCAAAGGTTTTGTGTGCATGTACACGTTAAGGTGCCCTTAGAGTCGAAAGAGGGAGTCAGGTCCTCTGAGCTGCCTGGCGTGTGTGCTGGAACTGAATCTGGGTCCTCTGGGAGTTCTCTTAATCACTAAGCTGTCTCTCCAGCTCTATTGAATGCATTTTCTGTATTTACAAGCTTGCCTTTTCAACATAATAGGGATTCATTCGTGGTAAAGGAGAAACTCAGAACTTGAATACATAAAAATCATATTCTTGTCAGGCACGATGACTCACTTATACCTTTAACCACAGCACTTAGGAAGCAGAGGCAGGAGGATCTCTATGAGTTAAAGATTACCTTGTCTATATAGTGAGTTTCGGATCCTGTCTCCAACGAAACAAAACTGTGGTGGTATTTTACTTGTACTGAAATGTGATTTTAATTGTATGTTAATAAATAAAGTTGCCTGGGGGTCAGAGCTATTAGAGCCATAGCAAGTGCGTGGCGGTGGTGGCGCACGCCTTTAAGGACCTGGAGGGCGGTACATACAGGCAGACGAGGCAGTCACGTGTTTGGGTTTACAACCAATGAGAAGGCAGAACAGCTAGATTATATAAAGACATACACACAGGAAGTAGGTCCCTTTCGGAGAGCTCTCTTGACTGAAGAGGATCACTGAAGCAGTAAGGGTGAGGATCTTAGCTCTGACCTCTTGGCTTTCTTCTCTGAATCGGCTCTGTGTTTCTTATTTAATAAGACAATTGGTTACATCTACACAAAACAGTAAAAATACAGCAAAAACAGAGAACAAAATCCCTTTCTTCTTTTTATATAGTCACCTAAATTAGCCAATGAAACACAGCAGCGAGCCCCAAACTAGAGTTTTTTCTAGAGACAAGTCAACATCTCATGTGTTAAATCTTGCACAGCAGTTGCCAAAGCCATTTTGCTACAGCAAACTTAAAGTTTTATTAAAAATTATTTGTATATGTCTGTATATGTGTGTCTGAGCATATCTACGTGTGTGTGTGTGTGTGTGTGTGTGTGTGTGTGTGTGTGTGTGTGTACACAGATGTAAGAAGAAGGTATCAGGTGTGATCCTCTGTGACCCACCTGGCTCTGCCTCCCAAGTGCTGGGATTTAAGGCGTGCGCCACCACCGCCTGGTGCGGTCTGTTTTTTGAGGCAGGATCTCTACCTAAAACTGGTATTCTCTCAGCTAGACTGGAGCCTTCTGTCTCTGCCCTCCTCAGAGCTGAGTTACAGGCATGTTTGGGATATCTGGCTTGTTATATGTGCCATGGTATCTGAACTCAGTCTCATGATTGAGTAGTAAACACTCATAACTGCTGAGCCATCTCACCAGCTCTAAGGGAGATTTTTTTTCCCCTTTTATTGAAAATAGATTTTTTCTCACATAATATATCCTGATTATAGTTTCCCCTCTCTCTACTCCTCCCAGCTCCTCTCCCCCTCCCCCTCCCATCTTGATCCACCCCTTTCTTTCTCATTAGAATACAAAACAGGCTTCTAAAGGATTATATGATATGATATAACAAAAACTAACACATTGGAATGGGACAAAACAAACAGAAAGAAAAGAGCCCAAGACGAGGCACAAGAAATATATAGAAGCACAGGTACAGATACAGAGACCCACTCATTTGCACACCCATGAATCTCATAAAAACTTTAAACTGGAGACCATACTATATACCCAAAGGACTTGTAGGATAAAAAGAGAAAATATATATATAAAAGATAAAAGTAAAAAGGCAAAATTAAGCTGGGCATAGTGGCACACACCTTCAATCTCAGCACCCAGGAGGCAGAGGCAGGTAGTTTCCTGAGTTCAAGGCCAGACTGGTCTACAAAGTGAGTTCCAGGAAAGCCAGGGATACACAGAGAAACCGTTTCTGTCTCAAAAAACCAAAACTGAAACGGGGGGGGGGGGGTGTGTGGCAAAAAAAAACCCTGACACAACATTATGAGACAAGGAATCTCAAAAGTTGCCATTGAGTTCCTTTTCTGTCGGCTATCTATTGCTGGGCATGCAGCCTACCCCTAAGAGTAATTTGTTTCTGCAGTGAGACTCTAGGGGAGATTTTATTACTACATCAATATCACTGCTTGTTCTAGATCTTTTTAAATTATTTATTTCATGTTAATTTAATTTTGATAGACTATATGCATATAAAAATTCATCCCTGTTTTTAGATTTTTCCAATTTAGTGGATATACTTTTAAGGGATGTACTAGTGATTTTTCTGAATTTCATTTGCATCTATTATATGGCTCCCTTTCGACACCCTCTGTTGGTGAGACTCTTCATAGAGGTTTTGATTTGATTGCTCTGTTCTTCATTTCCAGTATTTCAGTTTGGGTTTTCTTCAGTATTTCTGTCTTCTTTTTTCTTGAGACAGGGTTTCTCTGTGTAGCTTTGGTGCCTGTCCTGGATCTCGCTCTGTAGACCAGGCTGGCCTCGAACTCACAGAGATCCACCTGGCTCTGCCTCCCAAGTGCTGGGATTAAAGGCGTGCGCCACCACCGCCCAGCTTATTTCTGTCTTATTCAGAACCCATCTTTTATGTCACGTGTATTCAGCTGTTTGTGCCCTCGGGATTTTTTTTCAGGAGTTTATTTTGTTCTTTAAGTTCTTTGAACATACTTATCCTTCTTTTCAGTTATTTTTTGGATGCCATTACTATAGAGTAATAATTTTTGAAGGAGTTAGGTTTCCTTGGTTTTTCATGTTACTTGTGTATTGTGTGGAGACTTGTACATCTGGAGCTAGATTGTTGGTTGAATTTATTTCTTATTTAACTTACCCTTATTGTTTAGGAGTGGGTGTCTCTTCATGGTCTTTACTGTGAAGGGTACCAGGTTGTTATTATCACCTGGTAGAACCAGGAGTGATGGTGGACAGAGTCTGGATAGGTGTGCTGACCTCACTTATGGAAGGTTCAGGGCAGTTGCACCCCAGAAACTGTGGTTACCAGTATGATGGGTAGGATTGAGGCTTCCTGGACATACTGAACTCACCAGGACTACAGGCAAGGCCAGAACCTCCCTAGTTCACTGGGGTAACAGTCAAGGCTTTGCTCATCAGGTGTGATGTCATTTTTCTTTATGGCTGAACAAAATTCTATTGTGTATACATACCACTGGCTCCATTTTCTAGTAAATGATCATAACTGCCAGAATATTGCTAATGATATTTGTTTTGTTTTGTTTAAAAAACAGGCAATGTTTTTTATAACCTCTTTTTTCTGAATAATATCTGAACAAGATTTGTTATGTTTTTCCTGTGTCATTAAAATGGATAACTTCAGGTTGAGTGTAAGTATGTTGTTACAGGGAACAGTGACATTCAAAGATGTGGCTATTGATTTCACCCCAGAAGAGTGGAAGCAATTGGATCCTACTCAGAGGAACCTATATCGGAATGTGATGTTAGAAAATTATAACAACTTAATCACAGTGGGTAAGATAATGTCCTTTTTCTAAAATAGATGGAACGTTTTAATGTTGGTGAGTTTTGTCTTGAGATGCCTTTGTTAATGCTCCTATCTGTGCTTCAGTGTCAAAGCAAAATCTTTGGTCATATTTCAGGGTACAACATTCCCAGAAGTCAGAATACCTGGCTTCCACGGGCCTGTCTCAATTCCTGAATTGTCTTTTGTTACTAGTGTGTATACCCAAATCAGTGTCATTTCCCTCTGACAGGCTCTCCAGTCACCAAACCTGATGTGATTTTCAAGTTGGAACAAGAGGAAGAGCCATGTGTAGTGGAGAAAGAAGTATTAAAGAGACACTATCCAGGTTAGTGGGAGGGAACCAGACAGGTGAGGAGAGAGGAACAGATGGGTAATCTGTCTGAGATGTTTCCCAAGGTATTTTTCTAAAGCATGTAGACTTGTGTAGTAACAGTGTAAACACTTAAAAACTAAGATGTCATTTCCCTTTAAAAATTTTTTAATTACATTTTTATTTGCGCATGTGTGCACATGTGTGTGGATGCACGTGTGCTATGGTACACATGTGCTATGGTGCATATGTGGAGGTTAAAGGACAAGTTGTACCCTTGAACTTGGGTCACCAGGCTTAGTGGCAAATGCCTTTATCTGTTGAGCCATTTCATCAGCCCAAGGTGTTATTTTTCAATACTATTAATTTGTGTGTGTGTGTGTGTGTGTGTGTGTGTGTGTGTGTGTGTGTGTGAGTTGTTTTTGAGTGTGTGCTGGAGCATGTGTGTGTGAAGACATGCATGTGGAGGACAGAGGATAACTATATTCTGAGGTACTGGCAGTTAGGACTGTATTATATCTTTTTGGCAGCACACAGTTGGACTCATATTGTTATTGTTGTATTGAGATAAGGTCTCATATAGCAAAAGCAAGTCTTGAACTTGCTATGTAGCTGAGACTAGCCTTGAATTACTGACCCTTCTGCCTCCATCTCCCAAGGGCTGAACTTAGGAGGCATAGTCTACAATGCTTTGCTATTGTGTGTTCATTTTGAGTTTTCATACAATCTTTGGGTATTTCTTACTAATTTTTCCTTAATTTTTTTCAAATTCCTTTATAAGTAGTTTTCTTTTTTATTATATTTCCTAAATAATTATTTATGTATATATGAAGGTTTTTAAAATTAATATTACTTTCTTTCATATAAAACAAAGATGATTGAATGTCTAGATATCTGCTTCTATCCACACTTCCTTTCTTGGAATTTCCTTCTAAAAACCATGGAGATAAGAGATATATATGGGGCTGGAGAGATGGCTCAGCAGTTAAGAGCACTGGCTGGTCCTCTGGAGGACCCAGGTTGGATTCCCAGTACCCACATGGCAGCTCACAACTGTCTGTAACTCCAATTCCATGAGATCTGATGCCCTCTTTAGGCTTCAACAAGCACCAAGTATGTACGTGGTGCACCTAAATGCATGCAGGCAAAACACCCATATACATAAAATGAAAATATTTTTAAGATTAAATTAAAATAGGAGATATGCATTTGAGATTTGTTTAATTGGAATTTTTTCAAGTATACTTGGTATTTCAATATTTGAAAAGAAATCACCAGTGATATTTATTTGCTATCTATTTTAGGAGACATTTGGGCAATTGATGAGCATCAGAAAACCCAGAACAAACTCTTGAGACAAGATTTCAAGGAAACAGTGACTGATGAAGCCAATGAATGTCCTAAGAAATTTGCAAATACATTTCCTCCAAATGCAGATTCCATTCCTTCCAGACACAATCTCTATGAACACGAGTGGTTTGGAAAGTCTTTAGAAGATAATCTTGATGATCATAATGATGTTAAAAGCCCAATGACAGAAGAACATTTTGAATATGATGATGCTATGAAATCATTTAATAATAGCTCGCCCTATTTTGTAGTGACCCCCTTTAAATGTAACCATTGTGGAAAAGGCTTTAGTCAAACCTTGGACCTTATTAGGCACCTGAGAATTCATACTGGTGGGAAACTCTATGAATGCCACCAGTGTGGAAAAGGATTTAGCCTCAAGGAAAAACTTATTAATCATCATAAACTTCATAGTAGGGAACAGTGTTATGAGTGTAATGAATGTGGGAAAACTTTCATTAAAATGTCAAATCTCATTAGACATCAAAGAATTCATACTGGAGAGAAACCGTATGCATGCATGGAATGTGGGAAGTCCTTCAGCCAGAAATCTAATCTGATTGATCATGAAAAAATTCATACTGGTGAGAAACCTTATGAATGTAATGAATGTGGAAAATCCTTCAGCCAGAAACAAAGCCTCATTGCACATCAAAAAGTTCACACTGGGGAGAAGCCTTATGCATGCAATGAATGTGGGAAAGCCTTCCCTCGAATTGCATCCCTTGCTCTTCATATGAGAAGTCACACAGGAGAAAAACCTTATAAATGTGATAAATGTGGAAAAGCCTTCTCTCAGTTTTCCATGCTTATTATACACGTAAGAATCCATACAGGTGAGAAACCCTACGAATGCAATGAGTGTGGAAAAGCCTTCTCTCAAAGCTCAGCACTAACTGTACATATTAGAAGTCACACAGGTGAAAAACCCTATGAATGTAAGGAATGTAGAAAATCCTTCAGCCATAAGAAAAACTTCATTACACATCAGAAAATTCACACTAGAGAGAAACCTTATGGATGCAATGAATGTGGGAAAGCTTTCATTCAGATGTCAAATCTTGTTAGGCACCAGAGAATTCATACAGGAGAAAAACCTTATATATGTAAGGAATGTGGCAAAGCTTTTAGCCAGAAATCAAATCTCATTGCTCATGAAAAAATTCATTCTGGAGAGAAACCCTATGAGTGTAATGAGTGTGGTAAAGCCTTCAGCCAGAAACAAAACTTTATTACACACCAGAAAGTTCATACTGGAGAGAAACCTTATGATTGTAATAAATGTGGTAAAGCCTTTTCTCAGATTGCATCCCTTACTCTTCACTTGAGAAGTCACACAGGAGAAAAGCCTTATGAATGTGATAAATGTGGGAAAGCTTTCTCTCAGTGCTCACTACTTAATTTACATATGAGAAGTCATACAGGTGAGAAGCCTTATGTATGTAATGAATGTGGGAAAGCCTTCTCTCAGAGAACTTCCCTGATTGTGCATATGAGAGGCCACACTGGTGAGAAACCCTATGAGTGTAATAAGTGTGGAAAAGCCTTTTCCCAGAGCTCGTCCCTTACCATCCACATCCGGGGTCACACGGGTGAGAAACCCTTCGACTGCAGCAAATGTGGAAAAGCCTTCTCTCAGATCTCATCTCTTACTCTTCATATGCGGAAACACACAGGGGAAAAGCCCTACAACTGTATTGAGTGTGGCAAAGCTTTCAGCCAAAAGTCACACCTTGTTAGACACCAGAGAATCCACACTCACTAGAAACTCCGTGAACATTGTGAATGTGGGGACTGCCGACCAATGAAATAACCACCTCATGGTACACACTACATGATCCGTTCTAGAGCAGAAAACTGTGAATATAGGAAAGCCTTGTGAAGAACCCATGCATTTATTAGAGAATTCTCAGTGAGATGACTAATCATATGAGAAACTGTGAACAAACCAGTTGATAGCTAATCAGTATTCTCATTCAAATCTGACAGACAATATCTGCTGAGTATCAGTATACTTGAGCTCCTTGCCAATATATGAAGCAAGGTAAGAAGATTGGAAAAAACAGAAAAGTAACCTTTTATAGGCAGTATGAGACTATGAAAAAGTAGGTTTTGTATGATAATGCATAAATAAGAAAATCTAAGATAATTAGGTGACATGTCTACAATTACAAAACTTGCTGATGGTTACAAAAGAACACTTGAAAAATAAAGTTAGAAAATTATAAAAAAAATACAAGTACTCTTCCAATTTTCTACCTTTGCTATACCTCCACTCAAAATTTATACATCAGTTGTAAAGAAATTCATGAACTGATTTCAGAGTAATATAGCAAGGCAAAGGACCACAAATGGGAACAAAAAAATTTTTTTGACAAAACTAGGGAAGGTGATCACTACTAGATATCATTACATTATTTGAAGTTTTTTCTCATTTAAATTCTTTTGAGCGAATAAAGAAACTATTGGAAACAAATTGAAGATTAACATAGAAATTCAAGACCTGGCCAATTTGTGTATGGTTAATGCTACTGAAATCATTGGAGTCAGTCTAGCCTATTCAATATGTGTGAAATTCATATGACCCAAACACGTTATTTCTCAACCATACATATATGGAATCCATCAGGCTGATGAGATGGTTCAACTGATAGGGTGCTTGCTGCCAAGCCTGGTACCTGACTTTGATCCTCAGAATCCACATGGTGGAAGGAGAGAGCGCTGACGCCCACAGTTGTCCTCTGACCTCTAAAGGCACACCATGGCATACATGTCCACACACACACACACACACACACACACACACACACACACACACACAAAATAATCCAAATAGAAAAGGTAAAATTCTAAAACTACGATGGAAATAAAGTAGAATATGTTGCTTTAGAATAAGAGTATTTAAAAAGAACCCATAAACATGGAATAGTCTATTTTATTCTAGTATATTAGACTCAGAAGCACCCTTGTATGTGTGCAAGCAGATATCTATCAGTATGTTCCTGGAATCATGGTTTGTTTTGCTCTAAATTGTATGTAACATGTCCATCAACATAGATCAATATGTTTATTTCTATGATAGGATACTATACTGTAAAATATACAAAATTCACATGTAGTTACATGGATAGATCACAATATTTTGAGAGGAAAAAGCAAAATACACAATGAGACATGGTATAATATTTGTAACTTAATAAACCAGTTCAAAGAACAGTATTGGCTATTACTCATGGGTCCGTTTATGATATTAACTGCCTTTGAGGATGTAGAAGGGTTCATGGGAGTTGTTACATTGATCTGTAATACTTCTTTAATAAAAGGATGAAAGCAAATATTACAGTGCTGACAAGTCTGGTTGTCAAAATTAGTTCTGAAAATTTAAAGCTTGTCTTTAATTGCCTGCTTTTTCTAAAGTAAGTCAATGGGTGCAGGAAGCATGGACTGATAGAATCAATTTTAATAGCATTTATGTGTTATTTTATATATAGTCCTCTTTATACAAACAAGCTTGATTGAAGATGCTTTGTTTTCTCTTTTGGTTGGATGTTTCCCCAAAGACTCGTGTTGAGAGCTTGAACCCTAAAACAAGTGTTCATGGGTGATTTGATCATGACGTTCTAACCTCTTCAAATGTTTAACCCACTACTGGATTCCTAGTTGATACTGGAAGGTGGAAGCTATAGGAGGTGATACCTAGTGAGAGGAAGTAGCTCACCTGAGGCATGCCTTCAAAAGGGGTAATACTTTCCCCCCTCATTTCAGTTGATTTTCTTAGACCTTCTTATAACAGTAACAGAAAGCTGGCTCACATTCTTTGTAGCATTGATTGGGATAAAGCTGGCTCACATTCTTTGTAGCATTGATTGGGATAATGCAGATCAACAGTATACAACATTGAAGGCCCGTTTTAAAACTGTAAAGCATGTTATCTTTTACATAGTTCTTTCCCTAGTTGAAAGCAGTAGAAAAACAGAAGACATTATTTGTTGGAAATATTGACTCTCAATTTTAAAGAAAAGGTCCAGTTGCATTTGGGTTGGTTTTGAAGAGAAGGAGAGGAACTATTCACAATGCCAGATGGGGTTAGCAGCCTCTGGATCCAAGGGCCAGTAACAGCATCAGAGCAGGAGCAAAGTTCAGCAGATCTCAACAAAGCTTTTTTGAGTGTCTATATTCAGTCCATTTGTATTTGGCAAATTTAGAGAAAACACTATATTATTTATTCTATCCTGATGAGTCCAAAGCTCTGTACCCAATTTACCTTCTTTCATAACTAAGGAAAACTATAACTATGACTAGTCTTCAACTCCATCAAAGACCCCAGAAAGGTGAAATGTTACCTAACAACAGGGACATCTGGGTGTCCGGACAGTAACCGTAGGTTCTTCTGTAACATTGGGGCATTCAACTTTGGCCTACAGGCCTAGTATATCTGACAGATACTTTTGAGAAGCTGGGAATTTTGAAGAACTGTCCTATCTTGGCAAAGTTTGGCAGTCACTTTTTTTTTTTTTTTTGCCGCCTCCTGGTCCAGTTTGGCCAGTATGCTGTTGGCAATTGAGGCAAGGGCAGTTTCTTTGCCCAAATGGCTAGCTTTTGCCATAAAAAAAAAAGCAACCTCCATATGGAGGTTCTTTGATGCCTATCATCTTTTAAGTAAATGGGTACTATCAGGAGCAGACTGTTATGAAATGTTGTGGAATAATCCTCTTTTGCACTGTAAAGATTTGTCACTCAAATTACTTTAATAAAAAGCTGACAGACCAGTAGCTGGGCAGGAAGTTATTCGGGAAAGTCAAACTGAAAATGATAGGAAGGAGAAGAGTGGAGTCAGGTGTCACCAGCCAGATGCAGAGGAAGCAAGATGAGAATGTCATACTGAGAAAAGGTACCAAGCCACGTGGCTAAACATAGATAAGAATTATGGGTTAATTTAAGTGTAAGAGCTAGTTAGTAGTAAGCCTGAACTACCAGCTAAGCATTTATAAGTAATATTAAGCCTCTGAGTCAGTTATTTAGCAAGTGGCTGATGGTTATTGGAGAATTTCTGGCAGGACAGAAATTTCCACTTACATATGGTGCTCCAACATGATGCACATACATCCACATAAAGCCTGAAAGAGCTTAAAAGAAAGGGTTCTAGATACACAGGAATGAAGCCAAAAGCAGCTTCATTGTTCATGTCTCTTTCCCTGGAAGCTGCATGTGTTCTTGAGCACAGCATGCTGGATTCCCACCACAGCACACAGAGGCGCCTCCAAGCCTTGCAGCCCACTGCGTGGCAGATTTAGCTTTTGCTCATACAGAAAAAGAGGATTACAGATGTACGATAAAGACAGATTCAGATGGAAAAAAAACCTCTAAATGGGTTACAGTGTGTTTAAAAAATGTGTGTAAAGAACATATACAGCCTTAAACATATAGATTTAAAATAATAAAGTCCTTAGAAAGGGGAGTGAGTAATATAAAGGAAATGAGCCACATGAGAATGGAAAATGCACAGAGAGTCTGAATTATGTATATTATGTTGTTTTTAAATTTTTTGACTGCTATGAGACATTTGAATATGGAAGCTGCTGGATTAAATCAACCTATATATTTAAAAATATATCTTGATTCCAAAATTTAAGTCAAAAGATATGTCACTTTGGGGGAGAGGTTATGTTTTTTTTCCCCACAGGAAATGAGAGACTATGGGTTCATTCTGGATTAAGAAAATTCAGGTTTGATCGAGGAAGACCCCCTGAAATCCCAATTATAGACATGAGAAAATAAACCTAAAGTAACTACAAGACACATGACATATAGTTCACCTGCTCAAACATAAAATAAAAAATTATCTTTGGCTGGCTTGTGTACAAAACACAGTTTATATTTATATTAATACATATATATTTCAGAACAAGGGGACTAGACACCAATAAAAATGAATGGCCCAGATGATCCAACATTTCAATACACCTCTATTACAGTTTCCTCTGAGTTCTGCATCCAGAACAGCTTCAAGGTTTCTGGCTGAGATGATCCAGCCACACAGAATACTCTAGTCAGGACTTGACCATAATCCTAAATTTTCTCAGGGTCCCTCAAAGATTACTAGCACCTCCAATCAATAGGAAGTAGTCTGGAGAACTATGCCCACATCCCCAACACTAAATTATGAATATTTGTCATTGTTTAGTTGGATTGGTTACAAGTTGTTATGGCTAATAGGAAAAAAGCTGAACAAAGGAGTTAGATTCAGGGTTCTAAAGGATCTAAAAGAAAAGGGGGGACATAGAAATGATAGGATAAAAGGGTAGATTATGAATCTACTTTAAAAAAACTATTAATCTTACATATTTTACATTAGTATGGATTTTGGTTTATTGATACAAATTTAAAGTTAATTTTGCTTTACTGTATGCATATTTCTACTCTTATTTAGTATATTATGTTTATGCAGCTCATTTAAAAATGTAACATGATTAAGAAATACAGATTAACAGTCATCTATAATAGCGAACTTATAGTCAGGTGTGTTTTCAAGGTCATAAAGAGAGATATTTCAGATAGGCAATCTTCAAACACTTCAAAGACCTACAGAGTATGGCATTTAAAATGTTTTAGGAACTTAGACTTTTCTTGACAGTGAGACACATCTGCTCCTGGCAGCACCAATCTACTTCAGAGATGATGGACATTGAAAAAACTCCATATGGAGTTTGTTTTCTTTATGGCAAAAGCTGGCCATGTGGGCAAAGAAACTGCCCTTGCCTCAATTGCTGACAGTTACTGTCCACACTGTACCAGCAGGACACAAGAAAGGTGACTGCAAAACTTTGCCAAGACAAGGGAAAATCCTTCAGAATTCCCTGCTCCACAGGAAAATATGTCAGACATGCTAGGCCTGTAGGCCAGAGTTGGATGCCCCAACATTGCAGAGGAACTTTGTGGACTGTCCAGGCAGCCTGAGTTCCCTGTCATTAGGTAACATTTCACTCTTCTGGGGTCTTTGATGGAGTTGAAGACTAAATAGTTATAATTATAGTTTTCTTTAGTTATAATTAGATATGAAACTTTAGACTCACCAAAATAAGATAGGTAATAGAGCATTTTCTTTAATTTTGCCAAGTGAAAATGGATTAGATAGTGTTGGTATAATTCTTACTCAATAACTTCTTGTTGTATATAATCCTACTATGTTAAAACCTTCATTTTTTCATTAGACAAAAGGGGGGAATGCTGTGGAATTATCCTCTTTTACACTGTAAAGATTTGTCACTCAAATTGCTTTAATAAAAAGCTGACAGGCCAGTAGCCATGTAGGAAGTATAGGTGGAGTGGCCAAACTGAGAATGCTGGGAAGGAGAAGGGCAGAGTCAGGAGTCTCCAGCCAGACACAGAGGAAGCAAGATGAGATTGCCAAACTGAGAAAAGGTACCAAGCCACGTGGCTAAACATATATGAGAACTATGGGTTATTTTAAGTGTAAGAGCTAGTTAGTAGTAAGCCTGAGCTACCAGCTGATCATTAATTAGTAATATTAAGCCTCTGAGTCCATTATTTGGGAAGTGGCTGCTGGGTATTTGGGAGTTGCTGGTGGGGCAGAAACTTCTGCTTACAATGAAAAGTCTTAGGTTAGCAAACATATTAAATTGCCATATTCTGTAGGTCTTTAACGTGTTCGAAGACCATATATCTATCTAAATATATCTGTGTACAACCTTGAAAACATACCTAACATGAATATAAATTTGACTATCATAGATGACTATTAATCTATTTCTTAATTATACATTACATTTAAAATGAGTTGCATAAGCACTATCTATACCCAACAATAAGAGTAGAAACAGACATATAATATAGTAAAAATAACTTTAAATTTGTATCAATAAACCAAAATCCATATCAATATAAAATGCTTTGAAATTAATTGTTAATCATTGATTTTTGGATTAAAGTAGATTCAATAATCTACCCTTTTATCTCATAATTTTTGATTATATCCTTTTTTTCTTTTAGAAAGAGATCTTTGAATTTAACTCCTTTGTTTTTTGTTTTTGTTTTTTACTATGACCAATAACAATTTGTCACCAACCCCCTTTAAATGATAACAAACATACCAAACCAATATTTTGGGAATGTGGGTGTTGTTTTCTAGACTACTTCTTGTTGTTTGGGATGCTAGTATCTTTGGGGGAACCTTAAGAAAATTGAGATAACTAGCTCTTATAGTAAATTAACCCATTTCTATTAATCCCTCAGATCTCATCTCTTACTCTTTGTATGAGGAAACACACAGGAGAAAAGGCCTATAACTGTATTGAGTGTGGTATAGCTTTCAGCCAAAAGTCACA